TCAACACTACACATGATAACACAGATAGATTTAATTGGATTAAAATAATAATTACAGAAATGCAACATTCTGAAGCTATGTGCAATATTTTTACATCTCATACAGATTAAAGTGTACATCTTACTCTAGCTCCTGTAAAGTTTAGTTTTCTGTCTAGATAGAAGTTTTTCTTCTGATTAGCAGGTTTTTTCCTTCTAGTGATAATTTCTTATAAGATTTTCTTAGTTTAGTTTTTTTTACTCCTTATAAAATTAGTTATTATTTTCTTTTTGTTTTTTGTTTTCTCTTACTCCTTTTCATATATTTTTTTATTTTTCTCTTCCCTATGAGAAAGTGTTATTAGATTGGTGATACTCTATTATAAGGCAGAGTTATGACGGGCTACAAGCTCTAACTCATAGATCTATATTACTGAAATCTTAAAACAGAAGAGGTATATAGAGAGAGAAAAGTTCTGTTATAGCAGGTCGAACATAGATGTCTTAAATGATAACTGAGTTAGTCACACTTTTAAGATTATTTAGCATTAGCTTAGAGAATAGAATAGGATATATATATTTATATCTTAAAAATTCTTAATAAATCACAAAGTTGTGGCATGACTGCTGAAGGGAAAAAAAATAGTATTTATATAAAGTAAAAAAAAAAAAACTATATAATTTCTAATAGATTTTTATTATAAAAACTTTCTAATTATAACTAATAGTAATTACAAAATTTTAGTCTCTAAATAGTTTTTTCTTTTTACTCACTTTAGCAAACTTAGAAACAAAACTAAAACAAAATAATAAATCTTTAACTATAAATAAATAATAATAAAACTCTAAAAGAAATTTGCTAAATAAACAAATCTAAACTTAATAACTAACAATATTCTATTTCTTATACAAATAAGAAAATCTTTAAAAACTACTTAGTACAAAATTAAAACTAGTATTATTCAAATAACTTTTTCTAAAATTCTAAATAAAAAGTTTACTACTAAAAACTTATATTATACTTTCTCTTCTAAAGTAACAAAATTATATCTAGACCTTAAATTACTAGAAAAAGCTATTAAAAATATAAAAAAATATTTGAATAATCTAAATATTCTATATCTAAACTTTTTAATAATAATTATTACTATTAACTCTTAATACTCTTTTAATATTTTCTTACTACTATCTAATTCTAATCTAATTCTAAACTGAATCTCCTTTGCTAAAGACTATTAAAAATCTCTTTATAGTACTTATAATTTAAAAAATACTTATTAAATAATAGAATATATTAATTAAGCTATAAATAAAAAATAGATTTCTTATAAAATAAATTTACAAAATTAATTAATAGTATTTTAAACAGATACAGTAAACCTATATATTTTAATAATATTAAAATACAGAATAAGATTATAACTAAATCTTCTAAAATCAAAATAGCTATTCAATAATATTTCTATAGATAGACTATATACTAAAACCTTAATCAAATAATCTTCAACTCTAACTAGAATAAAGAATACAGACCTTCTCTAATTATTAAATCTGAATAATATAATTTTATACTAATAAAAATTACTACTGAAGAGGTTATTAAAACTCTAAGCAACTTATCTAATAAAAAAGCTTACAGATTTTTTAAAATAAGTTATAAAATAATTAAATATTTAGATTTTAAAACAATTCAAGCTATTATAGTATTACTTAACTATTATTTAATAATATAAACAATTCTAAAATAATAGAAAAATAGCTGTATTTTTTATATTTTAAGAAAACTTTTATTTGATAGAGATTTGAATAATATATACTTAATTAGCTTTATTGAATATATTAAAAAAAAACTTAATAAAGTTCAGTGATCTAATATAGTAATTAGATTGTCAAACTGCTATACAATAGGTCTGAGATTCAAATTCTACTATTGAAGAATTTGAATAATTTCTTAGATCTTGTAATATATTATAGTTAGAGGTCTTATCTAGTCAAAAAAGTTGTATTTGAATATTCATTTGTTTAATATTTTCAATATTTAACTATTTATTAAAAAGTTTTAAATAAATATTCAAATATTTTTTTCTAACTTAAGCAATCTTGCTCATTATTTATTAGAGGAAATATTGTTGAATACATATAAAATATATATTATAAGATATATAAAAGATACAAATTATATAAGTCCTAAAACTAATCTATTATTAAATCCCTCCTCACTACAATTCTGAACTTACTCAGCTGCCAAACGGTGCCTAGATATAATCTGCTACAGAAGTTATTTTTCTCTTTATAGCAACTCTTCTCAAAGAAGATATTATCCTTAGATCAACAAAAGTGATTTCAGACCTTATCAAGATACTAGGTTACTTCTAATCTAGTTAAACTAAGCTACAAGTAGTTAACATCTAGTCTCAAGATAAAAAAAATAAAAATTGTTACTAATCTAAAAGCCTAAGCTTACTAACAAAAAAAATTTTGTTCCAAGTCATAAAAACTTTGTTAGCAGTAATATAATAAAGAGAAAGAATAATAAAAGAACTAAAAAAAGGTAACCAGATACTCTGTAACCTAGATCAGGTTTAAAAATTTTAAGTTGTACAACTTATAATCTATCTCATATAATTCTCTATCTAGTATATAATCTACCTTAAGAATTTAAGATCTGTAGTACTGAGATTATATTTCAAACTAAACAATAAACAAAGCATATAAATTTGTTATTACACAAAGTACATAACTTTGTCAACAAACAAAATATGTGACTATATTTACTACATAAGATCCCATATTCACAGAGTAATTCTGAAAATAGAAGGAGTAAACAATGCTGATCTTTTGTAGAGAGGAATTTAGATTTACCACTTTTGTCAAAAAAATTAGAAGACCAGAAGGAAAAAGCTTGTAATATATTATTGTTTTCTAAAGCCTAAGAGAGTATGTAGACAAAATAATTTATTATCTCTTGCTTAAGTTTTCTTTTACTAACTTCATTAATAAAGAATAACTTTGCATATCTTTACTAAAATTTTTTATATAAGGGCTCTCTTCTTCTGCTAGTTATCTTATATAATATTACTTCTAGCTTGCATATTAAATATATAGAGGAGTTCCTAAGAATAAGCAGTTGACCTATGCAAAAACTATTATATTTTAAAAGAAACTTCTTCATCTTTCTATAATAAATTTTGGGAGCTGATATTTATATCCTCTATATTTAATATTTGTACCCTTTCATGATGAAAATTTCTAATTATTACATGATCATATGAAATTCTTATATGTTATTAGTTAATAAGCCATATATATACATAAAATTTAAATAAGAAACTAAACACTATGTACTTACAAAATATTTGATATAGGTATAAATTATCGAAATACATAATATACTATCCAACCTAAAAAATATAGTAGTGTTTAAATAGATTTTAGAAGTTTAAGTTTCAAAGTTTTTTTTTTTTAAACATTAGATAGTAAATTGAATATTATTTTATTTCACTAGATTTTGCAAATAAATATACTTTTTCAAAAAATTTTTACATATATAACTTTTAAATGTACTAGAATATCCCTTGCTTCTATAATATATTTGTTAGAGCTAAATATGAATAAAAATAATAGCTAAATTTTCTTCTAGTTTTGTAGTCAATTTTTTTTTCTACAAAAAGAGGTACTATTAGCTAAACTGCTAATTATATTCTGGCCAATAACTAAATATTGCACTTGCGAAATATTTACACTAATATGATCATTAACCTAAATCTAAAAGTATTAGTCAAAATAAGAAATTAATTTAAAAGTATTAATAAAAGAATATTGAAACCTAAAAAATATAGGTAGCTTTAAAGAAGAAAATTATATTAAAAAAGATGTAAAATGCAGTTTACAATAAGAAAAAATAATACAATAGATCTTAAATGTTGGTAAATATGGCTCTATAAAGTATTGAGATAACTGTAAAATTATTATACTAAGCAAGAAACATAATTAATCAGTTAATATAAATATAACTAACCCATATATTTTAATACTCTTCATATAATAATATACTTCATATTTAAAGATGTTGCAAGCAAAATAGTCATGATCAAAAGCCTGTAACCTACATAAGATGATTAACAATTATGCCTATATCTAATCAGTATATGTAATGTAATCAAACAGCAATTAAGTAAAACATGCATAATCAAACAACTAATGTATATAACCAAATAGGAATAGTCTATGATCGAAAAGCTAAGGTTTCAAAGTAGCATGAAAAAATCTAAGAATAATTAAAAACAAAAAATAGAGAAGAAAACCAGTAAAAGCTATAATTTAAATAAACAGTTTAATATAAGAGGGAAAACTTGCAAATCTAATAACTTAAGCAGAACTAGAGTTGCAGGTAAAAATAATTAATTTCACCAGAAAACTAGTACACCATTGAAGATTAGTTTTATCTATAACTCTAGTTTTACTATCAGTACACTAGTTTCACCTGATACACTATTGGTATACCATTAATGATTTGTTTCACCTGCAACTCTAAGCAAAACTACTAAGAAGCTGCTTTCTTTAAATCTTAAAAGATGTAATATATTCTAGAAATAATTCCTAAAAGAGTGTAAGATGTGGCTTCAAATAAATCATAGTTATATGCTAAAATTGAATAATTGATTTAATAGTTTTTAATATAAAGAATAAAAGGATCAGATAGTTTGAAACAAAATGTAAAATACTTCTATTGTATAGCCCAAGCACAAGCTCAAGTCAGCAGATTAGATAGATGAAAGATTTTTTAGATATCTTAATGCATTTAAAATATAAAAAGATTTTAAAATTAATAAAGATAATCTCATTTATCAAATATAAATAGTTTGATAAAAATATCTTTAATAAACCTTCTCTAACAGTTGTAATAAATTATAACTGTTTTATATTGTTACTTACAAGTCTCATTTCATTTAATAAATAAAAAATTAATTAGTTTCTTAACCATCTTATAAATTCAATAGTATTATTTTACTATAGTAAAATATGCTTTCACTACTCTCTGAAGTGTATAATAGTGCTAAAGAACTCTTTTTAAATACACAAAGATTTGCAAATTCTCAAGGTTATATTCTAATTAAAAAAAGAACTCAAAAAGATAACTATGGAGAATTAAAGAATATGTTACTACAATATGATTATAGTAGTGTTTACCATAGCTTCTTAGAACTTAATAAAGAATCAAACTGTAGACAAAGAAGCACAGGCTTAGTGACTGTCCTTTTGAGTTGTATGCTACTAGATATGAAAGAAAATAGCATTTAGAGGTTTGCTATGCAGACTATAATCAAGGTTACTCAAATAACATAGCAGGATATCCCAATGTTCATCAATTTATAAAACAACAGATTGAAACTGTTGCAACTATGACTACTACTAGTTCGAGACCTCGAGAAATTATATCAACTCTTCGTCATAACAACTCAGAAATGCTTATTACTAATGTTAATATTTATAATGCATGTGCATGACTTCGTTTAAAAAATCTAGCAGGTTGTACTCCTATTCAGGCTCTAATAGATGAGCTTCAAAAAGGTGATTTTTTATATGAGTATAAATATGATAACACTGGCTCTGTTACTCATCTTTTTTTTCACACAAAGAATTTGTCTATCTTACTTGTCACTATCCCAATATAATTTTAATAGATTGTACTTACAAAACAAACAGATTTAATATATCTTTGTTAGATATAGTAGGTATAACCAGTTTTAACACTACCTTCTATTCCTGTTTTATTTTTATGAAAAGTGAGGATGTAGAGGATTACAAGTAGGCCCTAACACATATTATGTATTTGTTTAATGGAATACAAAAACCTGATGTTATTATAACTGACAGAGAACTTGCTCTTATGAATGCTCTTAGTATAATCTTCTCTGATTTAAAAAATTTGCTTTGTGTATGGCATATTAGCAAAAACATCTTAAAAAATTGTAAGCCACAGTTCTCAAAGGAAGAATAGGAAAATTTTTTTGCCAAATGGAATGCTATTGTTCAATTAGAAACTGAAAATGAATTTGATATCAAATAGAATGATTTTCATTCTACTTATATTAGTAAACCAAAAATTATTTCATATCTTGAAGAAACCTGAATACTATTAAAAAAAAGGTTTGTAAAAGTATGAACAGATACAGTACTTCACCTGAAAACAACTTCAACTTCCTGAATTGAAGGTATATATGCAACTCTCAAAGCATATCTACAAATATCTGTAGAGGATCTTTACTGGGTTTATACTACAATATCACTAGTAGTAGACAACTAAAAAAAGGAGATTGATAATATAACTGAGTTAGAGCATATTCGCTTTCTAACTTTTGCTATTAAAAATGTTTTGTATAAAAATATTAGAGGTAAAGTTTCAACCTATGCTTTAAAAAAAATCAATGAGCAATATCAAAGAGTAAAACTTGTTACTCTACAAGAACCTCTACTACTATGTAGTAGATCTTTTTCAAAAACAATGGAGCTACCTTGTGCCCATATTATTCAACACCTCAAGAAAAATTAAAGTCTAATACTTGATAATGTCTATAAGCATTATTGGATTTCTGAAAACTTACTAGCTTCTGAAATTAAGGAAGATGTTTCTTATTCTGAAGACCCATTTCTCTTACAAAATTTACAGCAAAGGTATCAAGAATAGCCAGCATTTCAACAATCAATAGCATATGAGTCATTAAAGAATATAATTAATACCTAATTAGTAACTTTATGCAACTCCAATATAGTTCGTACTAAAAGATATTCTCCTGGTGCTTCTAATCAACAACAGACCAACTCAACTAGGAGAGATTCTTCTAGCTTTGAGTTAGTAGAACATAAAGTAAAGTATTGTACTATTTGTCAGCAACCTGAGTATAATGCTCGTACTTGCTTAAATAAAAATAACTTCTTATAAAGCTTATTTCTTTAATTGAATCAATTATACTATATAAATAGTAAAGAAATTCTTACTATCAAATATTACTATTACTTGGAGTTTTTTCTCTTTTAAGAAACATAAAATAATTGTTTTTTTTTAGCTTTTTTTTACTCATAAATATTTAAAAAACAAAAATGACCTTATTAAATAATAAAACAGTATACTTATAAGAATGCTTTGAAATAGATCTTACTACATCACACCTTTCTTAATAGTAACCAAATTTTTAGCTATAATAAATATTGAATGCACCTTTTCATGACCAACTATATTATTTCAAAAATTTTATGCTTTATTAATAATTTGACAGGTTTATTTCATAATTTCAAATATTTAACTTCTTAAATGCAATAGAGGCAAAAATAAAATAAAATAAAATAAACTTATATAATTAAAATTACTTGTACTAACAAAATAGAACATACAGTAAAACACTAGTAGTGGCTTAAGTATTCTTAAATCGAAAGCATTAATTTTAATCTATTAGTAACAGTAACAGTAATAAATATTGTAATAGCAAGATCTAATTCAATTGTTGATATTATTTAAATATCTACATAGTATTAGGCATCCAATTAAGTGGCTTATTAACCAATAATATATAAGAATTTCATGTGATCACGTGATAATTAGAAATTTTCATTACGAGGAGGTATGAATATTAAATATGGGGAATATAAATATTGGCCCTCTAAATTTTTGTTTTTTTACTTTTTCGAAGTTTGAAAAAAAGGATTATTAGAGGATAAATATTCGAATATTCACTGAATATTCATTGAATATTATATATAATATAAAAAAATTTTGTATTTTATTGATACTATGATTAAATAGCTAGCTAATAGCTAATATATATAAAAATAGAAAAGTTTAAGCATTTTTAATTTTTTAAAGATATTTTATAGAATAGATAAGTAAACTTTAACTAAAAATTAATAATTATTAATAAAGCTAATTTTTTATATTTTCTATCTATATTATAGAATATCTTTTTTAAAATATATATAAAAATATAATCTATTTTAATACTAATTATTAAAACAATTTTAATTTTTTAAATAATACAAAAAAACAACTTATTTTAATAATAATTATTAAAAAAAACGAATATTTTAAAAAATACTTAAAGTTTATATTTTAATTTGTAAAAATTTTATATCTATAATTTATAGTTAATAATTAATATAAAGTAAAAATAAATTAAATATTAGTAAATACTTATAGATAAATTGATTATTAAATATTCTTTATACTTATAAACTAATTTAATATAAATAGAGCAAATATATTAAATTTAATTTAATTTTAATTAACTAAATAATTTCTAATTATATATATATTCACTGAATATTCAATGAATTATTTGATGAATAAATTAAATATTAGAATATTCAATTTAGTAAAAAAATTAACTATTTGAGTATTTGAATATTTAGTGAATATTTGAATATACTATTCATCAGATCAGACCTCTAGTTATAATAAATCTTGTTCTTTTCTAGAAGTGTACTCTTGTAAATTGAGTTGTACCAAATTGATTAGAACTTGGAAATATAATGTAATATTATATGAATAAATCTTAATAGGATATATAAGCAGAGAACTTGCATAGTAGAAATCCTGAGTTAGTAAAGTAATATAGCTTTTTGATAGGACTACATTAGCTAAAGTCTGATCTGAGAAGAAAACTTAGTCTAATAAAGGTAAAAGATTTTGAGATCTCTAGATGAAAAGTAACTAGGACTAGCTAGATATTGAAAAAAGACTAGGTTAACTGACCAGTAGAGGATTACAGTAGAATCTGAAGTTGTATGAATATCTACAAGGATCTAATCTAAATAAATCTATAAAATAAGTACAGACTACTCTAGTAGGTTTGCTTCAAGATTAACTGGCTTCGCAATTCTAGCAATATATCTAGTATAATATATCTTGAGAGGATCTAGGCTGTTCTGAATAAATAAATTTATAACGAGCTAGCTGGCTTAAGTAGTTAGGTGTTATAGTAATATTAGGTTAGATTTATATAGGTTAATGAACAGAGTATTTAAATAGATAACTCATAAGCAGATTACAGATATAGTAGCATAGTATAGAACTAATTAAATAACTTAACATCTGTGTAGTAGACTACTTAAAATAGATAATGACTAAAGTTATATATATGGCTTGTTGTATATTCTTAATATAATTACAAATAGTAAAAATTATCAATACATAATTCTGTTGACAACTTTAATAAAATTTCTTCATCTATGTAAGCTACTTTAACAATAAAAAAAATAAAAATAAATAAAAACTTTATACTAAAATTCTAACTACTTGACTTAACTCAACTCTTTCTTCTTATAAAATTCTTAATTTATATAGATATTTTATAAAATAGATAAGTGAAATAAGAAATAAGCTTCATTAATATAGTAATAATTAGTAATCATTAATTTTTTAATATATTTAGTAGAGTTTAGCAGAGTTTGTTTACTTATTCTATAGAATATTTATTTATACAACTATATAGCTTTATCTAGTAATAGTACAAATATTTTAATATATATTCTAAATAATATTATCAAAGACTCCTACTGTAATAAAAAAAAGCTATAGTTTCTTGAAATATGAGCAAAATCTATAACTCTATTAACTTATATTTTCTTAAACTAGTTCTTAAATACATTCAATTTTCTTTTTAATTATACAATATAATAACTTTTTTTTTTTGTTTTTTTTTTTTTTTTTTTTTTTTTTTT